ATTGACATGAAGGCCTTTTCTACATGTGTCCACCAAGAAGGTAGAAGCTCAGTTGGGGTCCACTTTGAACCTAGAAGTAGACATTAAAGGATCAGAATGATTCTAGTGATTTTCAATGGACACGATGGTACTAACATATAAAGAATATGCCCAAGCTCGAATGCCACAAAATATTCCGGCTGCCCCTGACTTATAATGGTATATAAGTTACAATGAACCACATATAAGACCATCATCCTCATCTTTTTTTTTTTTTGGTACCTCGTATGATTAGAGATATGTCCATTTAACATAACAGTGAATGTTTTGCTAATGCTATCCTCAGAGGCTCAATTTTATGATTTACTGTGCAACACACTTCCCTATAGACTTCATTTTCTAAACTAATCCAAGGGCTTTAGTTGCTGAGAGACATGAATCTAAACACTGATTTCTTTGCTGCAGCTCATTGGGAGATTCAAGAAGACGTGAGAGAATATTACAAAATCCATGGAGAAAACAAGAAAGAAGACCATGTAGACAACTCAGACTAATCTTCTCACTAGAAATAGCACCCCCAGCCCCAAGGACAATCCAGATGATCCAGAACTTCCCATAAATGGAATTACTACCACAACTGGTAAAATGCCAATGTTGTCCAACCCCTTCTTATCACCAGAGTAGATTCTTATGATTTGTGCTATATTTTAGGTATGTGTTAAAATAGAGCTATACGTTTATATGTAATGTTTTCAACCTCCAAAGACAAATCAAGATTAAATGTATAAAGATATTGGTGATAAAAGGCAACGGTAACGAAAACTTTAAAAAGGAAAAAAGAAAGAAGTAAGGTATTCGACTTATATCAGGACTGATTTAGGATGGAGTTATCGTAGCAGGGTCTTGTCGTAGGTCTGTATTAAAAAACGCAGCAGTCATTCGTGGTTCAGACCAACTCGACCTTTTGGAATTTTAATCGCTTTGTGCAAAAGGTTCGTTGAAAAGTAGGGACACGGATGACAAAAGAAAAGCACGTGTTGCGTCACCACCAGATTTTATTAGCAGTACGATTCGATGGTCACAGGTCTGCAGGCTCCTAACAGGGGCTGAGGGTGAGCAGAATCTCCTCCCTCACGGTCTCTTGACTGCAGAAGTTGTACCTGCAGAGAAAACACACAGACCCTCACCCTACAGACACGCATCTGGTGTGCTGAGAGCGAGAACACGAGCGGGGCAGCCCTGCGCTTTCCCACGGGGGCTCAGCCCGCGCCCGAGACCCAGACCCCGACTGCAGAAAGGACTGGATTCCCCATTCCGATTCTTCCAGGGCTGTGCAATACCAGAGCAGTTAAGAAAGGGCACCCCAAAGCGCCTTTCTATGCCCTTAAAGCTTCCACAAAGCGCACTGGGGACGCTGTCAGGGATGCTTTAAGCTAACTGCAAGGTTGAATATTCAAGCCCACCAGCCACTCTGTGAAAGAAAGATCAAAGATCGGGCTGTTGGTGCCTGTAAAGATTTACAGTCCCGGAAACCCTCAAATTCACTCAACAGGCGTGGGTTGGGTTTGCACTGAGGCAAAACGGTCCTAAGCACTCTACCCAGCAGCCTTTGAATGAAGCATTTCTCTAGCCTGGAGGTCCTGCAGCCGGACTGGGCATTGTGCCCTGTAGTCTGCTCAGATGGATACAGCCATGGCCTTCAGCAGTGTCTCCATACACAGGTTGAAAGATGCCCTACTGAATATTCGGGGGTGGGGGTGGGGGTTGAGGGGTGTTTAAAATCTCTGGGGTTCTGTCTCTGAGGATCTCTGTCGAGTAAAATCTAGTGATTCTGGTATTTCTGGATCTCCTGGGCTCTGCCTGCATGTCTCCATCTTATGTCACATTGTACCTCTCTCAGGGCAGTTAGCGGGGGCAATTGTGAGGCCCAGCTTGCCTTTTCCCTTATCTCGCCGGGATCATGGTCCTTTTTTGCATGATACCTAGTGTCTTGGACATGGTTGCCTCATGTATTTTGTCTGAATCATTGTTATTGTTTCTGTTGGGGGGGTATATGTGGTCTTTGTTACTCCATTTTTCAGGAAGTCTCATCTTTGGGTTTTATGAGGACTGACGGATGACAGGCTGGCAGAAACAGTAGCATTGCGGCCAAGTATTTATCTTAATTCTCAAAACACTTGCGTTAATATTGATATTTCTATCATCATCAGTTCAACCTTTCTGATGGGTCACCATGGCTAGCTAGCCCTCTTTGGCTCACCCATAGCCTAGTCTTGGGTATTATCTAGGGTGGATCTCCTGGACCCCTAACTGTATTCAGGGGCCAGTGATACTAGTCTATTTACATCCTTTGAAGCTATGTCCAGCACCCGACCCTGTGGGAAACAGAAGGATTTCTCCCAAGCTGTCTCCCCCAAATATATGCCAGACTTAGCTGCTTGAGAATGACTGTACACTTGGAGGTCATCAGGAGTGGATTGGGGGTCATTCTCCCTGAGAGTTATCAGCTGTCTAGACCAAGCAGACACCACTGTTTATCCCACAACAAGTAGGGCCCACCCCCTTCTGATAAGGATAGTAGTTGTCGGTTTCCCTATAGGAGACATCAGGGAGGTCAAACCTGCCCAAGGATGACCAAGATTAGGCTGCCATCATGAATCTAGGGTCCACCCATCTTGTCACATGTATACCCCTAGACCTTCCCATTCCTATGGGCACACCCCTAGCTCATCCCCTTTCTGATACGCTTATGCCTATCATAGATCCCCTTCCTAAATGTGTATGCCTACTGTACTGCCCCTTCCTGTGATGTGTGGTTACCTGTAATCATGACCCCCTAAAGTGATAGAATGTGTGGTTAGCAATAAAGAAAAGAGGCTCCTCGGTTCTTGGTCCCCGAGGCTGCTCCTGCTCTCATGGCTGGGTTCCCCCCACGAGGACCATCAAGCGGGGCTGAGGTGAGCATGCTGCCATGAATTGTGTCTAACTCCATTTATTCCAATCTCTCCTCTAACTCTCATTCTCTCTATGACTTTACTATAATCTTTACTTATTATCGCTGTACAATTGCGCCTACCGGACCTGTGATGATTTGTGGGGGACCCCTTCTCCCCTTAACCCCACACGACACCCCCCCCGATAATATCAGTATTAATTTGGTGAACACAGAAAATTTGGGGAGGAGATGCTGGCCTGACATTAACACACATGAAGCACATCAGTAGCATAAGGTGGAGCTATCAAATTCACTCATTCTTATTCTGAAACTTCATTGGAATCGGATAGCACAACACTCATCAGCAATTGTTTGACTGACATTCTACATTCCTCTCTAAAGAAACAAGAGAAAATAGCTATGCCTGGGGCATTGGAGAAATCACTGTAGGTAGGATGTGTAACACAAGTAGATTTTCAGTGGGAATGAAATGATAAATTGGCTCAGTACTACAAATCCTTCTGGAGGTTTAGTACACATACTTACACTTTTCCATCATTTCTCTCCACGATAATCCTAGACGCTCCCACTCTAGGTAGAGTTGGGTTGATCACATTGTTAGTCCAAATAAACTTAACCTTCTGCAGGTCCCCAACATTCACATCGGAGTCAATTTCATTGGAATGAGTGTAGGTAGGTTGGAGAGAGCCCCTGGGAATCAAGAGTTAAGAAAAATACACTTGAATACATATATAAATGTAGATGTGTGTGTGGTTGAAAGGTCTTCGTATACTAAGATCATTGATATTGTATCTGTTGCTTAATTCTTCACTAATTATCATCAGGTGTCAGGTATCCCAAAGAAATCTTTTATCAAAGTCCACATCAATACCCTCTCAGGAAACAGCAGACTAAAGTTTTGAAACATAAATTCTGAAATGGATTAAGGTTAAGGGGTGACCCACTCTTCAATAATAGATGGCTATTTAAAACCCATGTATGCAGTAATGAGTAAGCTATAATATTGATTTAAAAACATCCCCTATGCGAATTATCCCAACATTTTAGAAATTTAGAGTAATAGTTCACTTACTTGAAAATTTCATACTGCTTAGAATTTCCTTTGCTTCCAAACAAAGACACTAGCACTTTGCCTCTAACTTTCTTTCCTGAAAGTGTGACAGATACCTTATACCTCCAGCCTGCAAGGAAAAAAAATAATCATAAAGGTCGGCTTATAGAGAAGATCCACAGGTTCATTTGGATTTCACAACTGAACGATTTTGCACTAGAATATATTTCTTAGATAATTCTTTATAGGCACCCTTTCATCCAGATATTTTAGGGACTTGCTCTGGGCTGGTGGCAACACATCTTTCCAAAGTCAATAGGTCCTTTTTCAAACACAGTGACTCAAAAGCAATCCATTTTTTGCTCCCAAGTTTTTCATCTGTTTATTCTGAAATGTTATAAGAATTTAAGTTTAAAAGTTCATCTATGAAAAGTACTTCTTTTCATAGATCATCCACTTTTAGACTACTGTCCTTTTTTGTCTAGTCTATCTTTATATAATTATTATCAAATCACTCATCTATAATTTGCATTTCCAGTGCAATTGGAAATGTACTAATTTATGGTAATGGAACGAGTGTTGATGTAGTGCTGGTCCATAGTGAACTCCCAGTTTTATCATTTAGAGTAGCCAAATTAGAAGGCGCCCTGCTGGCTTCATGAGTTAGGCACTGGGCTGCTAAGCATAAGGGAGCTAGTTCAAATCCTGCAGCTACTCTGTGGGTAAAAGATGAGGCTGTCTGCTCACATCAAGGCTTACAGTCTTGGAAACCCTATGTTGGATTGCTATGCACTGGAATTGACTAGAAGACAGTGGGTGTGCTTTGGGGCCAATTGGAGAGGGGATACAATTTGTCTATAGTTTTTGCAATGCTGCTACCCCACTGACTCATCCATATACTTTTCCTTCTCTGTACCCAGAAATGAAACCTGGAGCTTGTTCCCCACCCCTCACCATACCCATTTTCCAGGGGATACATAGTCTTAACTATCTCTCCAACCCATCAGTCTTTCTCATTTCCCAGCCCCAGCCACCTCTCTCCTAATCACTCTTTCTACTTCTACTACACCTCAGTGAAATGACTGGATACGAAGAGGCTGGAGTGGAGGAAGATGCCCGAATTCGGCACCAGAGCCAAAGGTGAAGCAATGTATTACTATTTTTAACATGAATTATTTTATTTTTGTTGTTACAGCCGACATGCACCACATCAATGGTTTCTATGTGTGCAACCCAGAGACATGGATTGAATTCTTCAACATAGGTAACTGTTCGCAGCCTCCTTTTGGTATCGGATAACACAACACTCATCGACAATTGTTTGACTGACATTCTACATTCCTCTGAGTGGTCTTTCGCCCATTAACATGAACTCACTGTCCCCTCAGAGTCCTGTCTAGTCTTTTGAGTTGCTATTATCAGCTGAATGCTATGTAGATAGATTTGACAGAGCACCGGCATCAAAGAAAGCACAGCAGTTTTTTTTTATCATGGACAGTGCAGGTCCCAAGCTCTTGCTACTCTTGGATCTCACCACAATCATCGTGAACATTGCCATTTAAGCTTTGTTTTTTTCATTTGGGGGAGGGAGTTAGAGCTTTTATATAAAAAAGCAAGTTTACACATTTTCAATGAACATGATAAAATGCACCACATTAAGAATGGGAGGTAAGTGAGATGGAGACTTACGGGCAAAATTACTGGCATCACCAGTGTTTAGATAAAATTTCCTGTCCACTCCATCGGTTTTCCCAGGAAACCTGTCAGCATAATGACCCATCTGTGGGCAGCCTTCTTCTGGACAGGGGAAGCACTTATTCTGGGGAAAGTAAACAAATGATGAATGAGGAGGTGCTTTCTTTGAATACTGCTGCATCTTCTTTCCACTCATTGCTGTAATTAAAATCCTCTAAAGCCTATTTTGTTGTGTAGGTTTTAATAGCCTCTCAACAAAAGCTTAAAACACATCTTATGAAAACAGATGATTCGCCATGAAAAATCAGCAATTTCACTGTTAAGTAACACAACACCAGCAAAGATATTATAAAAACCAGACAATGGGAGGATACATATACAGTGTGTGTGTGTGTGTGTGTATATATATATAGTTTTTTTCTCTCTCTTGCTCCTAAGTCTCCCTAAGTGGTCCATGTTTCCATCTGGCTGCAAGGTGGTACAGATTTATTTGAGAAGGCTTGCAAAGAGAAGAGCACGCGGCAACAGTAAACTTCTGGCATGCAAAACAAGATCCAGTGGGAAGGTGACAGGCTTACAGGTCATGTCTTTCTCAATTTCTTTAGCTCCTTTTTAGTCAATCAAAACACAAGAGACTCAGGATCCAGGACCCCCTCATCATGGAGCGAAAATGCCCCAGTGGCCTCTGAAGACGTAGCCAGGAGGTGGGAGTCTGAGGGAGACGAATACGACATTGGGGACTGTTCACTTTCTTTTCCCCACAAGGGGATATGGGGGGAACAGAGGAAACAGGACCAACAGAATGTAGACCAGTGGCTCTCAACCTTCCTCATGCTGTCACCCTTAAATACAGTTCCTCATGTTGTGATGACCCCCCAACCAGAAATTATTTGTGTTGCTCCTTTATAACTGTAATTTTGCTATTGTTAGGAATTGGGCGACCCCTGTGGAAGGGTTGTTCGACCCCCAAAGGGGTGTCTTGACCCACAGGTTGAGAACCGCTGATGTAGACGAAAGCACCCTATTTCTTGCTAGGGCGGAGCTAGGCTACCCCTCCACTGTACAGGCAAGAGGTAGACTCAGAGATCAATGAACCAGATCACGGGCTTGGCAGAATTTCAGGGTTCTAAATCTAGCAAAGGAGAAATATCCAAATCTCTCAGAGGGCATTGCTTGAGTCAAAAGAACAGATACTAAGTCCTAGGCCTCACCTGCGAATGGCAGCAGTAGCCAAGGAGATCGGACAGAGTTTGATGGCGTTGACCCTGTACCCATGGCTCCCCAGACTCCCTCTGTGATAAACACCCTCACTGAGCACCACACCAGCATTATCACCTTGTCCCAGCTCAAGGCTGGAGGTAAGCTGTTCAGGTGTGTTCAAAGCCTGATAGATCTATGAGACTGTGTTTTGTTTTTTCCCTTCTCTTCTAAAAGTGACTAAGCAGTACCAAAAAGGATGGTTCACATGATTGAGGCAGAATACATTTCAATGAAGGTTAAGACCTAGGATATTTCTGTTAGTTTGCTTTCCCCACTAAGGAGAAGGGCAGAGAACCACGACTTTGGAAAAAGATAAAGAAAATAAAGTTAGATCCAAGAAAGGGGAGGTTCATTCTTATTTCATATGCAAGCTGTCATGGGAATAAAATATGCACTCCCCCAGAATAGTCAACAACTGGAGAATACTAATGATTTTATTTTAGGCTCTGAGCTAAACAATTAACATACATCATCTCCTAAAATCCTCCCAGTGAATCAATGGAGTCATGTCATTATTATTTATATTTACAGATGACACAAGTACCTAAGAGAAGTTAAGTCCTTTGCCCAAAGCCACTCAGCTATTGAGTGTGACCCCAGGGTTCTCCTCTTCTCTTTTAATCGGGAAGGTGCATCTCCTGGTTAATGAGTACACCAACTGGCATATTACTTGAAAAATGTTCTTATTAAATGGCACAGGTTACAAATTTTCGATTTGCTACAATGTAGAGCAAAAGCCAATTACATAACACATAGTTCATACTCAAGATCGCATTTAAGGATCTAGATTGCTAAAGAAAATCAAAGAAGATGAAGACTCCAAAATGCAATCTATGAGCTTACTTAGAAATAAATATCCATCTACTTATAACCATCTAGTTGCAGAGGCCATCATTTTGGAGCTGTCAGCTGTTCAAACTCCCCAGCCGCTCCTTGGGAAAAAGAAGAGGCTGACTGCTCCTGGAGAGATTCACAAAACGGAGGGAATCTTAGATAGGTCACTGTGAGGAGGAATCAACTTGAGTTGATGGCAGTGGTTTTGTGAGTTCGATACACTTCAGGTTTCCCTGGCATGTGTCTCATTCAGAACTACTCTCAACACACCTTTGCAAATTTGCCTGCTCCTAACCGCAGTGATAGAGAATGAAGTAGACAGGAGACATTTCCATTTACAAGCCCCTTTACTCTCAAATTCCCTGATATTTTACCACTGTTACTGAATCTGCATGATGAAAAGTATATGTCCTTTGGCAGTGACGTAGCGCTGCTTGTTGAATGCATGCTGACTACAGAAAGCAAAACCCTGATGCTGAGAAGTGAAGGTCCCCATGTGTTCTGGGCGGCGGCGTGTACTTACTGCAGTGAAAAGATTGTAAGAGGCACAAAAGAAGCCAGCAAAGCCGTCAGGGGTGACGATGCTGTCAGAATAATACTTGTAGCTTCTCAGGTGATTGCAGGCCACGAAGTCACGCGTTCCTTTGAAAAGTAGACATGATTACACATGAAAAATGACTAATTTTTCCCAACCTCTCTCTAATGAGTGTTAATTCATGGAGGTCATGGAGAACAATTATTTTTGAAGTGTACCTGTGATTTGAAAAGCACTCACGAGTTAACGAGAACCATTTAAGGTCATAATAATCAGGCACAGCTAAATGCAAAGGGAAAATAACTTTAGCAGGAAAAATGGGTTTATATCCATGTCTAAGTGTCATTGAGTAATATAGTCCCTGAATAAGAACCGTGGAAAATTAACTGCAAATACTTTTCCCCACAATGGTCTACTATGCCCTCTGTCCTCAGCGAAAAGCCTCACAGAATTAGGGGTAGCTCAGGAATACAGTGAAACATCCCTGGTTCTATAAAATGTGAGGCTTAAGTAATACAGTAGACCCCCCCCAGTACTAGACTGCATCCGTACTCGACAATTTTCTCGCGAAATGTCGAGAACAATTTGCATCGGAGTTCGAACAAAACATCGTTATCGACCCGACGCACGTGATTGTTGTAAACAAAAGGCGTTCCGGTTTCGGTCACTCGGCGTTAGTTGGTGTTGCTGGTACGAGCTGTTTAAACCTTTTGTGTCTGTGTTCCAAGCGTTTGACTATAATATTCTTAGTTTTTGTGCCTCTTTGTACTGTTTTGTACGGATAAAAATGTGGGTCCTAAGAAAGAGTTTTTTTTAAAAAGAACATCACGATAAGGACCTGGTTAACCGTGTGATCGATATTGTTGATGATAATTTAGTAAATAAACCCTTTTAGAAAACAGTTAGGGAAACACCAACAGCAGACCATATTAGACATATATATATATATATAAATTTTTTAAGAGAAAGCCAGCCAGATCCTGGTGAAAAAAGGCAAAGAAGGGGGGGAAAAAAAACTCCCGAAAAGCAGCTGCCAGTTGATTTTTGTGGAAGGGGATTCCCCTTCCAAACAACGCCTCTTCACATCCGTGTCCGCAGATCCAGATCCGCAGCAAACTCAAGGTATGGGCCATACTGTAGCTGTTAAAAACGTTTTAAACGTTGTTTCCTATTTAAATGATATTATTTAACTCTGAATTTATTGACTTTGAAATTTCTGTAATGTTTTGCATAAAAAGGAAAGGTTAAGGGTTAGGGTAAAAACTTGGTGGTGGAGAACGGATTAATCCAGTTTCAGTTATTTCTTACGGGAAAAATTGATTCGGAACTCGACTGCATTGCATCTCAACGCGCCTTCTAGAAACGCATTGGCATCGAGGTCAGGGGTTCGACTGTAGCAAGATATTGCACCATTTTGGCAAAAGGAAATGGAAACGTTCCCCTAGGAAATCACTTTACCCACATCATGGCTTTACCTTCCCAGATCCCTTCTATGTCCACAATCTGAGAGACTATGTTCTTCTGACATCCGGGCATTTCTTTCCCTCCGTTTGGGAAGAAATCCAGGTGGCCCACGGGTTGGGTCATTCCGAACCCTGAGGAATTTTAAAAGAAGGGCGGGCTGATGGTAAGGCACAGACTTGAAAGGCGGAGCGGCAGGTCGCTAGGGGAAGACAGGTTGAGCTCACCCATGTTGGGGATCACGGGGGCAGCGTCTGTGTGGATGACATCCACAAACATGGCGTCACTGGGGTCCAATCGGACTAATTCTGGTGTACCTTCAAAGCAAGGTTCAGCTGGGTCCAATCCTACAGGAAACAGAAGGTGTCATGTTAGTGTTCATCCATCCGTGTTTATGCACCCTCATCAGTCACGGATAGGAGGGCAAACGCTGGCCGTGATTGTGAGTTAGTTGTATGTGAGTGCTGCAGGGAAGGAGTGCTCATTACTCATGACTGTGTAGTGGCCGCTGACTCACAGGGACCCAACGGGACTGAGTAGAACTGCCCCCCTGGGGTTCCAAGCTTGTCATCTTCACAGAAACAGATGCCCCATCTTTCTCCCACAGAGCAATGGGTCAATTAGAATCGCTGATCTTGGGGCTGGCTTCTGATTGCTTAGCCACAGAGCCAGCTGGGCTCCATGGTTTACCCTCACCTTCCTGTTTTTTAAAGGGGTTTCTCCTCTTCTACTTTTCCATTTGCATTAAATTGACACTCCCCAAACCACAGAGCTTGCCTCTACTCATCACGGAGGGCATTGGCAGCCCGGGGAGACTGACCACCTGGCCATCCTTTCACCCATTACTCAATACAGCTTTTGGATAATTACTGACACTTGGGCTCATGAGCAATTTCTGTTGAAGTCAAATATAATTAACCAATCAATTCTGAACTCTTCAGGTTCAACCTATGCAAATGACACCATGAAACTTGTGCTTTGTGAACGCCTTCCAAAAGGGACATTGGTATGAACGAAGCCCGCAGATGTACTTAAGTCTCATCTTAGCATTGTGCAATAGGGATGTATTAAACAGGACCCTGTAGGACCGATGATCCACATCAATAAGACATCCACAGAGCTTCAGAGCATACTGTTTTCTGATCCCATTTGGACAACGTGGACGTCTCTCTCCTCGGGTGAAAAGCAGGGCCGCTCCAAATGGACACCTGGGTTCCCCTTCAGATTCCATGTAGGCTACATTTCGTCTGACTTTGCAGCATTGGCTGCTTCTACCGACCTGTGATGCGTGCAATGGTCCCATTGAATCTCCGTCCAGCCTCCGCGGCAGCATGGGCCCCAAGGCTGTGGCCAATGATATGGACCTCTGAAGGGGAGTACCCAAAGGAGGACTGTGGGAAGAGAAGCCTCCTCAGAGTGTGCATGAATCAAGCAACTACTTCAGTCTGCACAAGGTTAATGTTTCCTATATTTTCAGTTCCCAAGTCAGGCTGGCTCGTGATCACTGTGCTTCTCTTCATAAAACAAGCAAACAGAACCAACAGAACTAGTTTAATCTCGAGATTAACTTGGTCTGACAACTGGTCAAATGCCAACAAATACTGATGAAATTCAGCCCAAATACATTCTTTGGCTGCTTGGACAAGATTTGCTTAAAAAACAAAACCAAAAAAACCCAACTAGTTTATTTGCATTCAATAGGCTTATTCATAAAGCTCCAATTGAGATGTTGTTTTCTTTTCAACCAAGTGGCAAGTGGAGTGCAAGCAGCAAGTAGCCTCTTACCAGCGATCACACATTTAAAATGAAATGAGATGAGACGCAGCAAAGCAAAAGTCCCACCGGGATTCAGAGAGCCAGGTGTTTGGACTCTTCGAAGGCCTGGAGCAGTTTACCTGAAGAACTTCCACGAAGTAGGCCACTTCTGCCCCCACCACCCGGATGTTCTGTGAGGCCTGCGTGTATCCAGTTCGGGACCCGCTTTTCCAGTCCACACAGATGCAGTTCACACTTTCCACCTGAAACAGGTTCTGGTGGAAGAGACACAGATAAATAGGTTAAAAGAAAAGGAAGGATCTCTTAACTGGCTAATTTCCACATTTGAGGACACAGATAAATTCCTACCTGAGTCTATACAATACTGTGCTCACTTTTAACCCCACAGCAATGAGTGTGTTACAGCTATGGACCCGTGCCTGAAGCTAAACGTTGGGTTCAAAGTGAACATTTGGTTGATATATAGGAACTGGATTCTTGGGACATAGGCATTGAGATTTGATTCATGAAAAACCTTATAGAATGTGACCCAGTAGGTTGTCTCATTAGATCATTATAAAAGTCATGAAGTCCTCCTACATTAGAATGTATGCTTGGACAATGCATAGGTTGTTCCATGGGTGTACTTATTGAATAAATGAATGCTTATGTTATAAGAGCCCTTAACTCAGTATAGTGAAGGTGAGTTTTTTTGGTTCATGATGAAAAAATTAATTGAAGTTTTTGGATGAACATGTTTTAATGTACATCATTGAAGACTTATTCCACATAAAAATACAATGACTAGATAGCCCCTGGAGTCAGCTTAATGGGGATCACATATGGTTACAAATATGTTACATGTATCAGGAATTCTGTTTGCCTGAGTTGGGTGATTATAAAAGCTTCCACCTTGTACCACAAAGAATTTGAGAAAAACAAGCCATCCCAGAAGCCCTCCCAACACCCTCATCATACAGATGGAAAAACCCAAAGAGGGGACGTCATTTGCTAATGTCACAGTGCGCTAGGGATAGAGTCACGTCCGGAATGTAGGAATGTAGGATCTTGAACGGCCTTCTTGCAACCATTTGTTTCTCTCTCATAATGCAACCATGCTGTCAGACCCAAACCAAATGCAAGAAAAAACACACCTGCTTCTGGATCTTGGAAATAAATTGTATTTCAGTATCTAAAAATCTATATTACTTTTGAACTATGAATCATTTTATTTCCCCCCCTCACTGTTGAATAATTATATTCCTACTCTCCCAACTAGTCTCAGCTTTAAATTATGTTTGAAACCAGCCTGTGTGATTCCTCTAGTTATTCCCTGACTTGTGAATTGCTTGTTAATTTCCTCCAGCTCCAGGATCGATAGGTACACTTGGGGGTTGACTCAGTTCACCTTTTGACTGGAGCCACCGCCGATCGGCCTGCAATGAACGGGTTTAGGATGACCTTTGTGCCTTTTTCCTTGAGAACGCAGAAAAGAGGGACTGTGCCCGTGTCACAGTTGGCCACCGAAACTTGATGAATAAGTGAATCAAACACGAATAAAATGGATCAGTAATCATGTTCCTGCAGCACTGGCAGCTACTAGGAAAATTTATTCTATTTGATTTTCTATCTTTTAGTTCTTCATTATCACAGGGCAGATAGCCAAAGGCAAATTAAAAGACAATGAAACCACGGCCTACATTACATGTTGAAACAACAGAAGTTGGAAATTAAAATCTATCCAGTTTTCCTACACGTTGCTACCAAGGGAGATCAAAGAGTAGTAAGTGAAAACTTAAAAAAGAGCTAGTTTGGGCAAAATGAGATATCTTGGCTCTTCACTAAAAAGTCAAAGCTATTGAAGAAGCAAAGGTCTATGATGTGCTCCTATGCATCAGGCAACATCTATTGATAACATCTTGAACCATCTCTACAGTTGTGATTAAATCATCGGTACTTGGACCCACCAAACGTCTGCCAATGCAGGGCTCAGGTTCCCTCCTCCAACCCCACCTCCTGGACCTTCCTTGAGAACCCCAAGCCCAGCAGGGACCACCATCAAATCTTCCAGTGCTATAGGCTCCAGGCCTGCCCTAATTTGTTGGGGTTGTACCCGTTGTTAAATACCAGTGCAGAAACACCCTTGCTTAAGACAATGCCACGTCTTACCCTGCACATGTTGGACAGCCAGTTTTCTTCTCCCTTATCTACGAATCCATGAATAATGAAGCGTGTTTTTCTATCTGCTCTGAAATTGGAGCCTCCAATAATTTCTGGATCTGCAACTATTTCCTGTTTGAGGAGAGAAAAGTGTTTCACATCAAGTTTCTTATACTCTCCAGTAGAATTCTTTGCACCTGGAGGGAGGGAGATTTCTGAGAAGTGGGATTCTGCTTAGTAAGGCTCCTCCCTGCCCGCCCAAGCTGTTCACGATCATCACCAGTTGCTACTTTGTGGCCTTCAATGAAGTTACTAGGAAGCTGATGTCCATTACGAAATGTAGGACAAAAACCAATGTCAACCTCATGAGCCTTTCATAAACACACTTCATTACATAATACGTAGGCTCCCTGTCACAAAAGCCAACAAAGATGCCACGCACATTCCACTGTCTGAGTTGTTCTCTTCAGACACTTCCAGCGTTCAGTCCCCCATGACGTCACACAGAATGATCGGAGTGCTAAAAGACCAGGGGCGCTCTTACTTGGAAGTTGTTTGGGTTCTCGTTGGTGTACATGAGGAAGCGGGTGTTGACGTCTTTTGGAGCCCAGGGCAAGATTTTGAGGGGTCTTTCCACAATCCCTGCCCACGGGGCATCATCGCTGAAGCAGCCAAGCCTCGGGAAGCAGATTTCTTTCCCTGCAATCATCCAGAAGCATTCCAAGAACATTACTTTAACAAGGGTCTCGTTTTACATGGTCCCTCTGCTGGAAAATACGTTGAATTACAACATGTGGCCAATTTTCTTCCTCCAGGACTCCAAACACCTTCCCATTAGCCTACCCCACCATCAGCTTCAGAAGACAATGTCAGGGCGGGTCTCTGTTGTTACTATGCAGCAGGGCTGCCTTGCCCTCACGTCTCTCTTCAGTTCCTGCTGGGATCGATTCTGGTCTTTCTTCTACAATGTCTTCCTTGGGCCATTGATGACTAAGCAAAGACCTTGTGTCCACAGGCCTGAAGCTTTCAAGTTCTGTTAGCTACTTCGGGCTTGGGCATAAGGACCCCTGGTGGCAAAGGTCTGGAACTCTACTAGCTATTCCTTTGGAGAACAGGGAAGCTGCTGTCTTCTCCTGTAAAGATTTAAAGTCTCAGAAACCGAAAGGGGCCATTCTACTCTCTTAAGGAGTCACTCTGAATCAGAATTGGCTCAACGGCAGTAGGATTGTCTTTGCATGGGCTCAAACTTTTTATTTCCATTCTGGTCAAGCAGCTAGATCTCCGACTTGTGTTTGTGGGTGTTCTGGATTCCTGTAATAAGGTTAAAGGGTTCATAGGGAAGATAAAGTCTAGTTTCCTGGTTGAAGTAGGAGTAGTAGATGTAGTGGGGGCTGCACTTACTAGATCTGACTGTATGCATGTCAGGCTCTGAGCAAAATGAATTTACATGATTGACCTCACCAATATCCTATGACAAGGATCCCCAGTGGCCCTGTTGGGTAATCATTGAACTGTTAATCACAAGGTAGGTGGTTCAATCCCACCAAGGCAGAAAGATGAGGCTGCCTGTTCCTGTGAAGATTTATAGTCTTGGAAATTCTATACAAGGTTGCTACAAATCAGAACCCACTCAAGGGCCGTGGGGCTTGGTTTTTAGATTTTGGTAAAAATTTGGCAAAAATTAAAAATAATAGTAGTATGAGCCCAGTTTCCAAGCACAGAGGGTTAAGAATGTTGCTTATGGTACTACATTCGTATGTGGTAAAAAGTCCTAACCTCACATTTCACTCTATGGTTTCCATACGAATGCATGAACATCCAAAATGCTCAACTCAATTGGAATGTCACATAAGTAGAAATACTTTTGAGTATAACTATATCCCATACTTGCGGTGTATCTGACATACGTGCTGTCTCTTGGACACTCCAGGCATCCTGGAGTTTATCCTTTAACACTTTCCCCGTGGCTTGTGCTCTTTGTTTCTTCCTCCTCACGCTGCTTTGTAGCCTCATTGTGGTTTGAATTCACCTGCGTTCACCCTTCATGAGAGCACTGAGCAGTGAACCTCATCCAAACCCAGACCACTGCCCTGGGGTCCAGGCCAACTCATAGCAACCCTGTGGGGCAGAGGAGAATGCCCCCCATGGGATTTTCAAGGCTGACATTTTTATGGAAGCTGACTGTCTCATCTTTCTTCCACAGCATGGTTAGTGGGTTCGAACCACCAACCCTTTGATTAGCTGCCAAACTCTAACTATTTTACCACCAAGATTGTTTTTCTTACCTGCCACTGCTCCCAGCAGCATTGAGAGTGTCCAAATTAGCAGCATCTAAATAAAGTTAAGAACATGAATGAGTGTTGGTCAAATCAGATTATTTTTGTTTTTAAAGAAAGATCAGAATAATTTAAGTTCAGTTAGCCCCAAGTCCCTAGAATTCAGGCAAATTCTAGTAAACAAGACCTGAAACACATGCTCCTGACTCACCGTGGCAATTGGTCCAGTCCTGCCCACAGCCAGATGGTACGGAAAAGTCCTTTTATAGGTAGACCTTATCTTTTTCAGTAGTTCCGTGGAAAAGTAGCAGGAGAAGAGCGCAGGTTCCAAGGATGTATTTATAATTTTGATCGTAGATAAACCCAGATGAACAGAGCAGGGAAAGTTTTCCATTGTGAGAACGTGACGAAAGCATCCATACGTACGAAAAGGTGTCTTCCTTGGTAAACTGGCCAGCACACAGCATCACCTTCGTTACGTTACAGCGAAGGTTCTAGCCTGCCGCTCTCGCTAGCTCAGAGTTCTCTCTGCAGCTCCGTGGGCATGTGTGAGATGAAATTGTTTTCACAGATTTGATAACAACAGTCTTGAAAACAAATATGAACGACCCACTCCTGCAGCTTTTGTGTCACCTTGTCTGGCCCACCAGAACAGCCACAGAGAGGCCCCCCTTAGAAGGGTCCATTCCTTCCAGGAACGACATTTTCCTTTGATAGTTCATAGAACGAATCTACTTCTCAACAATAACGTGAGGGACAGAATACATGAACTAAGGAAAGGAATTTGGGGTCTTGCCAAGAGCACCAAGGGAGAACCTGTGACCCCGACACCAGGTGAAATTGTGAGCAGGAGAGAAAATCAACATGCAACTTGGAGAAAGAAAAATATATATATAATCTGGGGTGGGGGGGATTGGAAAGAGAAGTGTTTGCTAGAAAAGAATCAGATGTTTTCAGTTTGTGATAGATTGCTTACAGTAAAATGTCCAGAGGCTGTCGTGGGGGAAAGGAGCCCTGGTGGTGCAGTAGTTCAATGCTAGCTGCTATCAGAAGGGTCAGGAGTCTGGACTCACCAGCCGCTCCGTGGGAGAACAATGTGTCTGCTTCTGTAAAGATTTACCACCTTCTAAACCCCATGGGGCAGTTCTTCTCCGTTCTAAAGGTCTCTGGCCATGAATCCAAATAAACTCAACAGCAGTGGATTTGGTTTGGGTTTGGGATGCCATCATTTTGAAATACTGAGCCATTTAGCCTGACAGTAGCACAGCTATTCAGTTGAACCAGATGAAATTACTTTTTCTGAGGACAAGATTGTCAAATATTAATCCGGCCCCCTGATGGGGTTTATAGGTACAGAAGAAGAAGAAAAAAAGCAACAAAGTTATTTGTGCAGTAGGAAAGTTCAAGGAAGTTGGTAAGGGAAAAGTTAACATCAGGAGCGAAGGCACGTAGGGCAGGAATTCCATGAATGGGAAGTTGGAAAAGTACCACTCCATCTTTCGTATCTTAGCATGTAATCACTGCTTTTCTAGCCCTGATTAGGTTGGCTCCTCTTGTCCCTCCTAAGGATGCTTCAACTGAGACCCACCTTGATGGGTGGTGAATCATCAGCTCTGAGAAGGCTGGCGCTCCGTGGGCTGTGTTGCTATGCTGTGTTGGTTCAGCGTCGGTGGTGCTGGTTGCCCTTCAGCTAGTTCTAGCTCACGGAGACCCATGTGCTGCAGAGTAGAACAGCTCGATGATGGTTTCTTGTTGTTACATCCAAACTCAAAGCAAACTCACGGCCATCAACTTGACACAGGCCCATAGAGCCCCTGTAGGACAGAGGCGAATTGCCCCTGTGGATTTCTAAAACTGTGAACCTTTATGGGAGTAGAGAGCTTCATTTCCCTCCTGTGAACATATGAAAGAACAAATGAGATGATATCAAAAGCAGTTTATTATGCATAATTGTTAGCGTAACAATCCCTAAACACTTTAACAGACAGCGCTGTCGTTTTCTGAAAACTTTCTTACTTGAAGCCAGCAAAAATTCAGAAACTTATGTAATTGAGGGTCTTGTGTCTCTACAATATTTAGTCATTTAATCTTATATTGCCCCAATAGTTGTAATTCACAGAGAGTAATGTCTCCGGTGGGGTTTGCCATAAAGTAATATTTTGTGTGAATTACCAAACAATTCACATAACATTTCTATGGTGGCATTTTAGATAACATAAAATTTTACCTATAATTAGAGCAACTTTTTAAGAATTCATCACAAGCCACCAAATTTTTAAACAGAGACTAGTCATTGGGATTAGAGTTTGTAGGCTGAAGTTCAAATTTTAGAATGTCCAGAGAAGATGCAATTTCTCAAACTCTCATAAAATCTAGGAAGGACCTGGCTACCTAATCAGTCATCTGTTGTGTCAGCTCTAGATGAGTGACTCACTCTCAGTTCTGAACTCTGTGGAATTCCATAAACCGTACATACTGTTATTTCAGATCACTGGATGAATGTCTGTTTTTAGTGTAGGTGGGCAAGACGGCTGGCCTCTTCCTACAGATTGTAGAAGAAGGGTCTGTTCTCCAGCCCCCCTTTCAGACCAATGGGGGCACAGGATCAAATTCTGGCAAATGCAACGTAAGTGGAAGAGCCAATAAACAGCCTGCTCGTGAGAGCGTGGGTATAACCCTCAGGAGCCTTCCCTCCCATTGGCCCCCATGGTAAGATGCAGGCAGTGACATCAAAGGCCCTGTATTGAAGCTGCTGGAGACACAGATGGAGGAGATCTGGGCTCCTCACATGGAGGGAAAGCAATGCACCCAGCACCAGCACCCATTGAGACTTTACATGAAGAAGGAATAAATTCCTATTGTTCTAAGCCACTGTGGTTTTAGGATTAGATTAGCCAGAATTGCCTTAATTGGGCTAGACTATCGTATTAATCACCAATTAATAACTGGCAGCTTGGATACCAAATATCCAATTCTGACTATAACTTTCATCCCGCCATTTGGATGACACTTACACATACAGCAATACTTTGACAGATTCCCCCACTCGAATCCTTGAATTTTAAAAATCTCTTTTCTTGCAGCCCCCAAATTATAAAATTAATTTCTTTATTCTTCATACCATTTTAGTAGAATTATATATTTAATGGGTTTTTGTTTGCTTGTTTGTTTAGTCCCATGGGAAGTCTGGGGTAATGCTACTCCAGGGTTTAGTAAAATTCACCCCATGTTGCCTGGGTCTCCAGAGGCCATTTATGTGATGTTAGAACCCCTCCATGTGCTGGCTCATACAGATTCTCAAATGCCACAGGTAGGGGGATCAGCTATGATCAGAACCCTGCTCTCTCCCAGCCTCTATTGCTCTCCACTCCTGAGAGGCCTGCAGGTAGAAGATGTACCCTGAGAAAGGTGACAGACCCATGGCAGGACTCGCCCAGTACCTCCTGGCATTGGAAGCTGAGATGGGTTTCTCTCAGAAAATAATCCTATATCTCCTCAATCCATAGAGCAGTACACAACCTTGACTCAGCTTTGACTCTAAAGCCTTGGACATCTAAAAGTAAAAAAAACCTCCAAATTTGGAAGTTTCTAGTTCAGCAGCTATGTTTGCAGCGGAGTTAAATATTGATACGTTTCGGCTGTGATGCTGGCAATCTTGTGACACCAAACTCCAGGTGAGGGAACTAACGGCTGCAGAACACCTGTCTGGCTTGATAACCAGCAAGCTCGCCAAATGGAGCCTCATTTACTTAACCTTCAGAGATTCTGGCCTGTCCTTACTCAGCTCAGCCAACCTCCAGGGCCATCCAAAGGAGGAGGAGGCCATGCTTACACAATAAATAGATTCAGGGAAGGGGGAGAACAGAAAGAAAAATGAGATCAATAAGTCGTGTCAATTTTTTCTTCGTTCCAATCCAATTGGAAGATGGACGGGGAATCAAAACATTAGAAATGATCTCAGCCTCCTCACCAAGGGGCAGGCCAAGACAGAGCTTTGATACCAAGTGCCTTTTCCCAAATCTCAACCCCTCCAACTCTCTTGCTGGTAGCCTCTGGATGGCAAAGGACCAGGCAATGCTTTGTCGTGTTATACCAAAGGTCACCAGGAGTCAGAGTGGACTCAGTGACAACTATCGACTCTCTTTAAAAGAAGAAAGATGAACGCCATGATGTAGCCTTCTTAGTGGGCAGCATCCAGTGACGCACTAGTAGTCATTCAAAGAACCAGGAACATGTGACTTGTCAGTTAATAGAAACATTTCACAACTGAGATAGTTAAGGTTTACTATGCCAACCTGGTCAATAAACACAAGTGGGATTAATAGAAGGGCGGAGCGATAAATGGCTCAGTGAGCCTCACCTTTCTAGTTTTGGGGTCTCTTGCTTTCTGATGGTCAGGTGCGACTGCCTTAGCCAGTTCCTTACTTCAGCTAGCAAGGCTCACTTCCTGCAAGACATCCCTGAGGAGAAGCCACATGGACCTACTCCGATGCTGCCCTGGGTGTTGGAGTAGCTGTGTGGAGACCCCTGCCAGTGTTGAGATGCTTATACGCTCACTGATTTGGCTTTCCTCCTGTAGTTGGCATCATTGCGTGTGTTTTGTGAGAAGTAGGAGGACTTTGTAGATCGGTGTTGGATTTATAGGCTATTGTTGGACGTATGGGCTTGGGCAGCACTGGGTTAGGATGCTTTCTGAATGTACACTTACCCTTTATATAAAACTCTGTCTTATACATTTATGAGTTTCTGTGGATTTGTTTCTCTAATGTACCCAGATTAACACAACAACCAGCTTTGTAAGATAATCAGCAAAGTTCATTAAAACATTATAAGCTGAGAGACTTCCATTTCTAGGGATCATACGTTCACCACACTTGTTCTTTAACCATAAATCAGTAATAATAAACCATAAGTAAAATGAAAAGGCTAGATAAAAACACATGAAACGATGTTTTAGAAATTAGACAACCGACGATGAATGCCTATGATAAATGCCAAAAGAGGAGCAACAAGGCTGGCTCCTTCAGTGCCTAGTTACATGTCTGTTGGCATTTT